GCTCCGCGCTCCGCCGAGTCTAAGCTCCTCCTTGTAGTTTGGTCTGGACCCATCCAGCTGAGGCATGCTCATAAAACTTAAAACGGCAATTGGAGTAAATCAGAGACACAGAAATCTTGTTATTTATTTACCTCTTTGTAACACACTCCGCTCCGCCGAGACTCAGCTCCGCGCTCCGCCGAGACTCAGCTCCACCGAGACTCAGCTCCGCACTCCGCCGAGACTCCGCTCCGCCGAGACTCAGCTCCACGCTCCGCCGAGACTCCGCTCTGCGCTCTGCCGAGACTCCGCTCCCCGCTCCGCCGACTCTCGGCTCCACGCTCAGCCGAGACTCCGCTCCGCGCTCCGCCGACTCTCGGCTCTGCGCTCCGCCGAGTCTCAGCTCCGCGCTCCGCCGAGTCTCTGCTCCTCCTTGTAGTTTGGTCTGGACCCATCCAGCTGAGGCATGCTCGTAGACATCATCGTTGTTCATCTGGAAGATAGGAATTAGTTAGTTACCTGGACATACAGATTATGTAATAGGCAAAACCATTTGGTAGCATGTAAACATAATTTGTAGGAGAGTTGTATGTGACCACACCAGAATACTTCCATCTTTCCGTTGTTCTTTTTTCTTTAATTCTTCCTGAAGTTACCGTAACACTCTGATATTGAGTGTTAAATGTTTTTGTGGAGAAATGAAAGAAAACGATGGGGCTTCACTGAGCTCCATTTTAACCACAAAGACTTAAAACGGCAATTAGAGTATATCAGAGACATAGAAGTTATTTATTCACCTCTTTGTATTTATTGCGAGCCCTCCTCCTGAAGGCTGGGGGACCTCCTGCTGCTGCTTCAGGCCACCGTGCCACGACACTGATTTGTACACTGATAAAGCTTTTAAGACTATAAATCAACACACTTACCGTAAATAAAACGATAAAATAAATGTAAAAGTGATCTTACCTGCTCGGTGATTATCTTACCGGGTGGGCGACGCCTACAGCAGGTGGTCCACTGAGGGTCGTCTTCCGTCTCTTCGGTTCTCCACAAGTAGCTGATGAATCAGTAGTTTCGTTTTCCAACAAAATCCCTTTTCCAGTAGATTATAACTCCAAGAGTTGTCTTCCACAGAAAGCTCTTGCAAAAGGTCAACTCGTCTCCAAATTCAGATGCAAAGTGAGAATCTGAGGTCGGCTCGAATGTTTATAGAGTCAGTGGCGCCGTTTCCATGACATTTACTGACGTACGTTCGTTGTCGAACACCCGAAAGCAACAGAAACTTTACGTTCTATTAAAAAATCACATATTTGTTAATATATTTCAGTAGTTTTTATACATATATATATATATATATATTTGTGAACAGAGACCAAGTTTTAACACGTCAAGCACTTATACATATCCCTTACTTTTAATTAGAAGAATAAGAGCAATATAGTGTCATTCTTTATTACTTTGAGTTGCTCTTCACGTAGCAGCTCTGATTTCTGATGGTTGAGTACAGATTGGGTCTAGAGGGCACGTAACCTAAAGGCTCAGGGGGTACCAGGGAATCTGTGTGAGGTGACTCATTATTTATTGTGGGAGGGTCAAAGGGCTCATAAAAAAGTCCTTTAGAAAAACAGCATCCGTGTCCATCTTATTATCCCTCCTAGCTAACATCACACACATGTAAGAAATGAAGAATGCTCTCTGTTGTAACCTTATCAGAAAGTTCCCTCAAAAGACCTTCAGTCATTTGTCTGGAGAATAAATCTGCATATAGATTTCAGAAGGTTTGGCCTGCCCTAAATATGTCAATATATCCGGGATGTTTACTGCACTGATGTTCAACACATTTACAGGTTCAACTTCCATCAGAGTCCACTTTGGAAAATGTGTTAAATTGACCACCAGGGGGTGCAACATACAAAGATCTGAAACTTTAAATGTCCAAAGGTGGTTTAATCTTTCAGAATGAATCTTTCTGTTTTATATGATGTAGTGAATGATTTAAGTGGATCATAAGGAGAAACAATAACATAAATAGAAGGAAGTCTAAGACTAAAAATGATAAATTGTAGATGCACATTACCATACAGTAGAGAAATACCGTACGTACGATATGTAAATTGGGGAAATGGATAGTTGGGGTAGGGTTTTTAATCATCATATGCTTCATATCTAAAATATTTAAACTATTTCATATCTTATGTTTTGGTTTCTTGTAAACCACTTGATAACTTGGTTTTAAAAGGTGCAATATAAATAGTTATTCAATCAGCATCATCTCACAATACAATGATATGAATATGTTATGTTGTAGTATTTTGTTTTATAGCTATGTTATTGTGTCTCTCTACAGCGGGTGATTAAAACCACCCAGAACATCATTGGCACCCATCTACTGTAATAAAGTTATTATTATTATTACTGCTCATCAGTGATATTGGTGAGAAGAGGAGCCTGCAAAGAGCTCAAATAATAATAAAAGACAAATCCCACCGAGCCACAACCTGTTCACCCTGCTGCCGTCTGGAGAGAGATACGGAATTATCAGCTGCCGAACCACCAGACTTCAAAACAGCTTCTTTTCTCCGACTGTGAGACTCCTCAATTCCTCCTCCACCCTCCATATATTATAGTGATTTTGTTGTTGTTGTTTGTTTTCTTTCCCGTGTATCAATTTGGGAGTACAATCTAAATTTCGTTGTGTAACCCTGTCGTACGATGACAAATAAAATCCTTGTAACCTTATTGATTCATTGTTTCCACAGAGACAGCTTTATTGAAACAGACGGATACAAAGTGAGAGTGTTTTGGTAACTTTTATTTTACAAAACAAAAAAAGGAGGGGGGGGGGGGGGAGTTCACATCGACATTTAGTCTCAATATTACAGTATATTGAAATTCTTCTCCATACAATTTTTTTATTTCATTTTAAATTAAAAATATAAAATAGTACTCATCTAGCAGTGCTTACAGTATTTTAAGATATGTCGCAGGCTTGATAGCAGAAAGGTTGGCCGGTCTTAGCGAGAGCCTTGCAGAGACGACCTACCTTTGTGTTACCTGCCTGGTTTGATTGACAAGCTGAACATGCAATGAGGGCAACTACACAAATTTATAGGTTATAACGGTGCAGTAAGACAGAAAATAATGTAGCCTACCCAAACATGTATTATTTTTGCACTTTGTCCAATATCCCTTTATCCTGTTTATTGGTGACTCTATTTGGCCCGTAGTCACAATTTTTAGTTTTGGCCCTCTCTGTGATTGAGTTTGACACCCCTGGCATACTGTATATGCTGTATTATGCTAAAAGGTGTCATTTTGTAACGTTTTTGGTTGTTGGTGTGCCGCGGGATCTTTTTAATGTAAAAAATGTGCCTCGGCTCAGTAAAGGTTGAAAAACACTGTGTTAGAGGGCTTGATTTAAATCAAAAGGGGAAATGAGACAAACAGGAAGCTTGCCTCATTTGTTTTTTGGGCCTACACTTTGCATATGTATTATTTTATAATGTGTGTTAATGTGCGTTTTACATTCCTAACTGATTTCTAAACTTGACACTCTTTATTATCATAAGTCATAAGTCATAAGTACAATGGTCGGGGCTGAAGAAAGTTCCATGGTGATGATGCCTTGAATCCACTGATGGATATGAAGCATGTGGTTTGAGGAACTTCTCATTACTACCATTTTTTTCTAGCAGCTCGCTGACACATAAGTACATACTATGTGAGAAAGACTATGGATAACTGATTAGTCATAATCAAAAACTAAAACATTCAGTTACATAAGGTACAGACAGCGCCTTAAACAGGGCTTTCCCATTGTTACTGTAAGTGAGTTCTATCTCCTTATTATCACTCGATACAGTAGGTGAGAGCCAAAGCTGGAGTTGAAAGGTCATTGTGGCCACGAATAGATTAGTAATGGATCGCTTAATCTTGAAAAGTAAATTTCCCATACTCTCCATATGGCCTTAGAGCTCAAAACATGGCCAGAGAGTGAAATTACTGTTGGAAGTCAACCTGTCAAGTCACTACAATTGTCTTCTTCTGTAATCACACTGTCACACAACCAATGGCCTCTTGTGCTGGTTGACCTAGTTGTGTTCATGAAGCAGAGGCTATCAAAACCTGAGATCTAGAAAAAATAAATAAGAAGAGAACTTATACATCCCCAATTTTCTGTTGATATCGTCAAGGTATCTCAACACACTTCCCTCCGCACAGTGCATGAGGAAGTACAACTTATTTGATATAGCACATCTGTAATCAGTGGTGTAGATAGCAGAGCTCAGGCTTCACTTCTTCCTGTTACTGGTCTTTGCTGTGATTGGACATTGGAGGTTTGGATCAGCTGCTCTATTATAAGATGAGATACCACACTGTCACCAGAGCTATGTCAACAAATGTGAGTTCCTCTAAGAAAATCACGTATGACCTGGGTGACTTATGGCACAGACCACTATAAAAGGCCTGTGTTTTCCTTTGTAATCTTCTCACAAAGATTTAGGACACTTAGGCTGTCATGTAAAATTCAAAGAACCACACTTGTAATTTATTCCAAGTATGTCATGTTGACCACCAGAGCCTGTGCTATTTGGACACGAATTACTTACACAAACATAATTATTTAAGGCTTGGGCATGTTTCACACCACACTGTAGAAAAGACACCTTCAAAGCTGTGTCAGTGGTGTAATGCTCTGGAGAAGACTGAACATGTTCAGCATTTAAATAAAATATAGAGATGGAGATGTGAGATGAGATTAATGTGTCAGGGGAGGAACGGAGCTTAAAAAGACTGCTGGGAGTCAATGAAAGATGAGTGGAAATAAAAAAAACAAACGAAACACAGAGCTAACACTGCAATATTTGTGAAGAGAATAGAACATTTAAAACCATGTTTTTCTACGTTGATTGTGTTTTTGCCTAGTTTTTGCCGTGGTAAAAACCCTCCGGGCCAGTAGATGGCGGTAAGCGCATTTGTGAGCCTACAGTAAGACGCTACGTGCTGCAACAAGCCCCTGTACGCTGCTGAACATAGTTTGGAGTCGCGTTTAACGATGTATTTTTCCTCCAGCACCAAGTCGCATTTAAATGGAGCTTATGGACTCTGCGTGCTGTCAGCGGGGTGAAAAGCAAGCAAGCTAGACATTTAAAACATACGCAGTGACGAGCGTCTTGGTTCTTTAAAGATGACGGCAGCGTGAGCCTTACGTGACTTTATAATGATAGTTAGCGGAGAAGCTAATGTTAGTTTGTTTGGCTAACATTGAGTTAGCCCTGTTGGACGGCTGGTGAGTGTACGCTAATGGCGCTAAACACCAAGCAGCAAAGTAAAGCAACTTGGATTGACCTGGTTAGTTGGTTAGCAGCATAACGCAGCAATTTAGGTAGCTCTGTTTTATTAGCCATTAGCAGTGGATCTGAGACGTTTCACTGTTTAATCGCATCCGCGGAATGATTCATCTGGTGGTTTGATGGGGCTTTTAAGGACCATGATGCCCGCAAAGTTCCAGCTTTTGGCTGTTTTGGCATTCGCACTGGCGATGCTCTTCATCGAGAACCAGATCCAGAAACTGGAGGAGTCGAGAGCCAAACTCGGTATGTTAAGACCAAAGCAAAGGTGGCCCGTTCGCTTTGTTGGCGTATATTGTTGCATAATTAATTCATGTGTGTATGAAAAGTGCTGTTTGGGTCTTTAAAGTAATAGTTACTCCGGGACGTTAATGTTTGCGGTAAAAGAGCGGAGTTACATTTAGTGTTGATGCTTGGAGTATACGAGGTTAATGACGGAGTTTTAAGACACCACATTAAGAGACTTTTATGAAGAATTAGTTACGTTTGAGAAAACAAATAATACTTCGTTTTATAAAGCTACTTGTAGCTTATTTTTTGTAATAATTCTTTTCTGCAATTCATTTTGACGAACAGCTTTTTGAGATAGAAATTGTTAGAAAAGGCCAAAAAAATGTATTTTACACACGAATAATTTAGTTTTTCTTCTTTTTTCATCAATACATTCACAGTCAAACAAAGGCAATTCAATTGAATGAGATCATCTTGCTCATGCTGCAAAGCTTCATACAACACACTTTGGAGAGCAAATGAGTGCAAATGAAGACTTGTTGCATAAAATAATACCTTCACCATTGCTCTGCAAATGTCATTCAAATGTGCAAACTATTCCCTCAAAGTGTCATTCAGGCTTGAAAGCTTTTTTTTGATGAATATGCAGTAAGTCCAAACAGGCATATCAAGCCCACTGTTTAGCAGTGAGTCATCGTGACTGACTTCAAACCAAAAGAATAAATATTTCTTAACACCTGTAGCTGGTGTAAGGAGACACCAACTGTACAGCAGGCCGGTAGTGTTTGGAGAAATGGACGTCATGTATTTACTTCCGGTAATTAATTATTCATTTCATGGGTAGACTGCTGGCTGGCCTCTTATGAGACTGCAGGCCAGCATACAACATTGTTATCGTAGACTTTTATACTTTGTATTGCAATTGCTGCACAACAATTTCCTTGGGGATGAATAAAGTGTTATCTTATCTTACTGTACAGTAGTATTTGTTAGAAGTGATCAGAAAAAAACAGCCTGACCTGCCAGATGGTGTGATTTATGTGTTTCTGATCTCGTGACATAGCGAGAATCAAGCTGCTGTGCAAGGTCAATATTGCCCTTGAGTAAAGCTAACCCCACGTTTACCGCCTCTTCATTTACTGAATATCTTTAAGAAGAGGGTATTTGCAGGGGCCAGGAGCAAAATGCCTCCGTCTGCCTTTCAGTGCACGCGACTAACATCCTGCAGACACGTGGCCCCTCTCTCCTCATGCTCAGACACGGGGAGTGCTGGCTGGGCAGCATTGAGAGACACACAGCTGATCCAAGAGATACTGTCAAGGCCATTCCAGTAATTGGCTTTAATTAACATTTCAGTGGAGACGAGAAGTGGGAGAAAACACTTTTAATTATGCCTCCTGTCTATATAATCATCAAAAACTTAATTGCTTGTTTCAGCGTTATTGTATTTGTAGGACTTTGTTGCTTTCCTTAATTAAGACGAGACTTAATTTTACATTTTTAACAGATGTTCCTTTTGTCTTTTTCTTAATTGTTGTGTCGGTGGCCTCACACCTACTGTGTGTGCTGCCAAATGAGAATAACAAGAAGCATCAACTAACTTTTGTCTCATTAAAACCCAGGCAGCAGAGGATGTTAGCCAGTCCATAATCATATAAATTAAACATCATATTGTCTCTGTTTAGAAACACTTGCCTCAAACAACTGACAAATCAATATGGGCTATATTTGACAGTCTTTTCAAAAGCATACGTCTATGATAATTGATGGTAAATATACTTTTTTTTTTTTTGTGCCCGTACAGAACGTACCATTGCCAGACACGAGGTGGCTGAAATGGAGCAGCGCCACAGCGAAGATGCTGGGCGGGAGTCGTCCCCGCCGGCAGAGAAGGATGACACGGTCATCATCTACAACAGAGTGCCCAAGACGGCCAGCACGTCCTTCACCAACATCGCCTACGACCTGTGCAGGAAGAACCGCTTCCACGTACTGCACATCAATACGACCAAAAACAATCCCGTCATGTCTCTGCAAGACCAGGTAAGGCCAACGGCCATCAGATGCAGTAACATCTAAATACCACTCAAAACATGAAAGGTCAGAATTTAGTACATGATTTAAATAATTTTACTTTGACTGCAAATACAGATTTCCAGCCTATAAAAGCTGCTGGATAGAAACTTGACTCCACCTCTCACATGAGCACGTTCCTCTTATTATACTAATAATCCGTTCCGTAATACAACATAGAGAAGAAGAGATCAAAGACAGAGGAGTCCTTTGTTGTCATAACAGATGCTCCCCTTATGACAGGCTTTGATCGTCACAGCTGAAAATGTGAAACTAAAAATAAGCCGTTGTTCTGGTTGTAACATGAAACATTTTCACACAAATATGCTGGGAAAAATCGAACGATGTTAACATTCTGACCTCACATCTGTGCAATGTGGAACTTCAGCAGTAGTGTCTGTTAGTGAAGTTTGCGACTGTCGACCGTACTTCTGTTTATGTTCTGAATACTGTCATCATTTTCGATCTGTCAGTGAGTTCTGTAGAAACAACATGCCGGATAAAAGGTGGCAGTTTAATAGTGCTGCGTTTTTCCTTATTTTCCATCAAATGGTAACATTTCATTAAAGGCTTCATGGTCAGCACAAAATCCAATAATACTATCATTCACTGAAGGGCATCTTTTCAGTAGTTGATTACAGATGGATGGATAGATGGTGCAGTCAGACTATAGCAGTCACTGTTCCAGCTCTATGGATTTGAAATAAAAAAAACAACTAAAGGGTTTGATGCCTGACTTTTAGCTAAACCAATGGACAGTGTGAAAGCTATAGTCTTTTTCCTGCATTGTAACCAAATTTTAGGGTCTAAAAAAAGTGAAGCTTGCAAACTTGCATTCGTCCTGACGGCCAGCAGGGGGCGACTCCTCCGGTTGCAAAAAGAAGTCAGATTGTATAGAAGTCTATGAGAAAATGACTCTACTTCTCTCTTGATTTATTACCTCAATAAACATGAGTTTATGGTCGCAATCTCTAGTTTAAGTCTTCATTTTCATTTGGTAAATTATGGTCCATTTGGGTAAAATAGACCCTAAAGCAGAGTATGCTTTAGCCACCTTGTGATTGACAGGTTGCTACCAAGGCGTTGTCCGGCCACCACTGGGACTTTGCCAGTCGTCAGCTGAAAGGAGATCCCCCGCAATAATGTAGTGAATGTGAGTCCGATGGTGCCATATGTAGGAATCAGTTGCAACGGTTTATCTCTCCACCAGGTGGAGCAATAAGTATCGAAGCATGAATTCTTTCTGATCAGCTTTCATGTGTATTAAGGATGTGCGTCCCACACAGAGCCTATAGTTTTAATGATTATGTTCATATCATGAGCACATCATGATGATCAGGTCATGGAAACACTATGCTGAGGCTTTCTGTAAGACACAGAGACTCGCCTCTAGCTGCTGATTATACCGTCTATTCTGTCCAAGCTCTCAATGAAAGCGTAGCCTACCTGAGGGAAATGAATAACTGTGTACCTATCTATATTATTATATTTCATAATGTGTACATTTACTTACATTCCACAACAGACAATCTGGGTTTATGTAGTTAAAAATATGTGAATAATTACTATAAGAACTGAAGGGTGGCAAACAATATTGAGGTTCCAGCCACTGCTGTAGGTCAGAGTGCACCCTGGCTACACTATTGCAGGGCTGACACACACAGACGGACAACCATTCACGCTCGCATCCACACCGAGAGTCATTTACCTAAGCTGTGGACTGTGGCAGAACCCGGAGAGAACCCACGCTGCTACAGGGGAGAACATGTTGCAGCCTGTTACACTGAGTGCATTCATATAAGAGGCATAAATGCCTCAAAGCTATGCAGGTGTTATTTGTGGCTTGTTAGTGCCGAGGTATTACCCCGTCTGCCATCTCACATCAGGCTGCCTTGCCCGTCTCAAGTTTCCTAGCTTCAGCTTTTCTTACTGAAATGTCTCTGAACATTTTCCTCTTATTGTCCCGCCTCCATAATCCAGATAGAAGATGCTCTCAGTCGGAAAGAATGTTGATTTATTTCATCCCAGTTGCCTTTCTTTCAATTGTTTCCGTGCACTCGCAGCAATAAGGTTAGCGGCAGCAGAGAGTGGTGCAGTGTTTCCTGCCCCACGATTTACATCTCAGGCTTTTTGATGGACCTATCTGTATGCAGCTTGACAGGAAGACTGCAGGCGCTACCCGGAGCCGGGAGTGGACCGTGAAAGGACCTCAGTGTGTCTGCATGTTAATCTATAGTTTTAGTCAATTTAGCTAATATTCTCCTAAATAAACAAAACGCGAGAATGAAACATCCGTCCAAACTTGGCTCTTTGTGGTAAAGATGCAACCCTGCTTTATGGTCTATTGCACTCTAAATGGAGCATCATTTACTAAATGAACATCATGCTGTATTGAAGAAGACTTGAAACTAGAGATTGCGACCATGAACTCATGCTTACAATGATTATTGAGAGAAATAGTCATTTTCTCATAGACTTCTATACAATCTGACTTATTTTTGCCACCAGAGGAGTCGCCCCCTGCTGGCCAGGAGAGAGAATGCAAGTTTAACATTCTGCCTGATCAAAAAAAAAACATCAGCAGCAGTTGAACATCTGTTTGAGTGAGAAGTTTAAATGTTAAATGAACACTGCTGAACTGAACTCGCCACATTGCACAGTTGCACCAACTTAAAACTAAAGTCAACCGTAAGCAAAACTAACATTTCACCTACTGCATCACTGAGGTCAAAATGAATGAATGAATGAAAGTAGGACAACTAACAATCACATGTGGAATTAAAACGGATAAAAGAACAAGGAGAAGCAACGGATGTTTTTCACATGTGAATTAGGAAGTGTGTGACCCATTCAGTCAGCTGATGGGCTTCCTCTTGAGATCATCTGCTGAACACAACGGCCTCTTACTGTGAGCCGACATGACTTCTCACCTGACAAAGTCGACTGCAAAGACTCACTACATCCTTTTCAAATGTGAAACAGAGTCCATGTCTTTCCAGCAGGAATCCAAATGTGTTAGTCTTCAGCAAAGCCAGCCATTTTCACCTCTCTGTCCCAGTGTTTCCTTTTTTCTGTTGATGCTGTTGTTTTTCCATTATGCTGGAGTTTCCCTGCTGCTCCGTGATTAGTTTCCATTATCTTTGGCTACAGGTGCGCTTTGTCAGGAATGTCACCTCATGGAGAGAGATGAAGCCCGGCTTCTACCACGGCCATGTAGCTTATCTGGACTTCTCAAAGTAAAGCCCTTCATTTCCTGTAATACCATTAATATCCAGATGCGTTCCAGACAGTTAGCAGAGCAGATAAAAGGGAGGCCATGTATTGATTGCTAACCTGTGCTTTAGCGTTGATTAATAGCATTGTTGTCCTTATCTCCCCCTGTCGCTATCATTTCAGCGATCACAGGTAATTATCCTAATGGTGTAAGCGTTCTCCAGTGAGAGAGCGCCTGTTAACTTGCAGCCTCAGTTCCCTCCCTGAAGCTGCCACGCTTTCACTGATGGAAACTGTTTCTGTAGTTCAATAAACACTATTAATTAGACGGCAGCTTCATGTTCTGATGTCTGTTGGACTTGAAAGTAATCCTCAAGTGTCTGTTCAATGCAAATGAAATGTGTCAGGCTCTTTCTTTGTGTTTAGATATGGGGCGAAGGGTAAGCCCATGTACATAAACGTGGTGAGGGACCCCATAGAGCGCCTGGTGTCGTACTACTACTTCTTACGTTTCGGAGACGACTACAGACCTGGTCTACGGCGAAGGAAACAAGGAGACAAAAAGGTCTTTATTTATCTCAGCAAACCTTTTTGTTCAGTGCCTAATGTTTGTCCGTACGGGAATGTGTGACAGTGTCTCCGTTGTCTTTCAGACCTTTGATGAGTGCGTGTCATCGGGCGGGTCTGACTGTGCTCCGGAGAAACTCTGGCTTCAGATCCCCTTCTTCTGCGGCCACCATTCAGAGTGCTGGTGAGTGGGCTGCACCTGCCACATCACAAACAGAGCCCAGTGCGTTTAAGTGAGTACAGGACGCCTGAAGCAGTGACAAGAAGAGCTGGAAAAATATCAGAGGGAACAGACACTCCGCCAACAAGATCCTTAAACCGAGAACATGTCGTGCGAACCGCGGATTAATTACACAGTTTAACCATCGTAGTGTGAGAAACAGTTTTGCTTCCGATCATTTAAGTAAAAAATATGCAATCTGTAGATCAACATTGATGCTTTCTAGTCAGATAGGGATACATTGTGAACAACAAGTCTGTGTTGTTATCGGCAGGAGGAGAGCTAGTAAAGCTAGTATCGTAGTAAAGCTAGTAACGTAGTAAAGCTAGTAACGTAGTAAAGCTAGTAACGTAGTAACGCTAAAAATACAATCTTTTACTTCCTAATAATTTGAATGTATGTAAAAGGTAAAAGTTAGTGATGAAAATTAATAATTTTGTTCATTAGCTATAGGCTTATTAGTATTTTGGTTAATAACTGTAAAACCGTGATATTTCCTCTGACAATAATCGTAATATTTAACGTGATGTGACGTCCCTAGATACAGTCTAGGTACATATGCTGAATACACAAAGAGCAACCCTGGGAAGGCCCTCAACCATAAGCCACTGTTTTGCTGTATGATTCTGTTTGTCGTTGTGCTTGGTGTAATCGTGTTTAATGTAGACCACAAATATAGAAACAGAAAATAATAATTGCCATTCAACTTTCAATCGCAACATTCCTCTGAAATATTGTATCTAGATATTCCCCTCAAATATTTCCGCCCTACAGCACGTAGTGAATCTTATCACGGAGCTTTTAATATCAGAAGTGAGTCATGGACATATTTCATAGTGGGGTTTCTTGATAACATTTCATTTTCTGTTTTGTGTGCAGGACTGCAGGCAGCAGATGGGCCCTGGAGCAGGCCAAGTCCAACCTGCTGAACGAGTACCTGCTGGTCGGAGTGACGGAGGAGCTGGAGGACTTCATCATGATCCTGGAGGCAGCACTGCCGCGCTTCTTCAAGGGAGCCACAGAGCTCTACAGAAGCGGTAAGGACCAGAGGCCGGCCTCCGTCGGTGGTACTAGGCTCCGAGAGCGGCTGATGGCTGGACATCACCGTCTTATATTGAGGCCCCACACACAGAATGAGGGCCACTTGTGATGAAGATATCTGTGCTTGTGTGATTAACTGTTAAAGAGCTCATGAAGTGGCACTCGTAACAATATAATGGAAACATATTCCAACGCTGATCTTCATGATGTTCAGTTCCAGATTTATATTTTTATTTAGGTATGTATTAATTCAACAGTTTAACTAGTTTGTAAAGTAAATGTTTATTTAAAAAATAGGTTTATTGGCCGATTAATCCAAACGGTGGTTATGATATTGTTTTGGTTGACTAGTTTTCCTGTTTGTGGTGTCCACTAGTGGGCTCTCTTGGTAGTGAAATCATCATCAAGTGAAGCATCGGTGTTACTGAGCCGCTGTTGCTCACCGTGTTGTCTAGACTGACATTAAACCTCCTTCTGTTCCTCCAGGAAAGAAGTCCCATCTACGTAAGACCACGGGCAAAAAGCCCCCCACCAAAGAGACAATAGCCAAGCTGCAGCAGTCCGACATCTGGAAAATTGAAAATGAGTTTTACGAGTTTGCACTCGAACAGTTTCAGTTTGTGCGCGCCCACGCTGTCAGGGAAAAAGATGGAGAACTCTACGTCCTGGCTCAGAGCTTCTTCTATGAAAAGATCTACCCCAAAGTGAGCTAAAAACAGGAAGCCAGGAAAGAGACAATTAGGAGTCATTTACACTGGGAGGAAGTTCATCAAGTGATGCTGCTGAATGCCTTTTCTCACACCGTACTGTGGACTCTCTATGAGGAATGTGTGGGAGCAGCTGTTGAGAGAACGTAACGTGGATATAAACAGTCAGTCTAAACGGTGAGAAAGAATTCAAACCCAGATGAGGGTGAAATGAGAGCTGGATGTGAGACTTCTCAAAAGCCAAACACGAGCAGCCTTTGAGTCGTGCAGTTCTTTGGTTGCTTTTTGGTTGAAGCGTCAAGAAAAAAGCCTCAAACCTCAACCAGTCCAACTAGTTTAAAACCATCGTTAAATGGGTTCTGGCAGATTGACTTAGGTGCACACATTTTAGTTTAAATGTTAAAACTGTAACCAAAAAAACCCAATCAGAGCTGCATTTGTACTTCCTGTGTTACATGTTCTTGGACCAATTGGTAGCAAAATATAAAGATTGGACCATTGCATCCTTTGGTGTGTGACAAGTATTTGAGATGTTCTGAGATGTTCTCAATTTTTAGACACAATAGTATTTAATCACTGAGACGGTGACGTGCACCTTTGATAGAACAGATAGCTGCTGTGTTAGCCGGTGAAATGAGCACAGCTGGAGCAGCAGAAAGGTGCTAATGTAAAACAAAAGGAATGTTTTGAGTCCAGGGTTGAGCTTTGACGTGGTCACAGGGTCACAGGTGGAGGTGGAGCTGAAAGTGCCTTTATTACAACGTTGTGGACTTTTTGTTGGTATTCTTTTTCCAGTGTTCTTTGTTTGTGTGTATTCATATGTTCTGTTTCACACCCCATCAACAATCTAAACATAAATGCATAACTAACTTTCCTGGCTCGTTTTATCCTTACTGTAGTTGACTGTGTCTAATGCGAGTGCTTGTGTCATGATACTGATGAGGAAGTAGCTCGTAACGTTGATATCCCGTGATAGTTATTACTGATTAATAAGAATTGTTCTTCCATTTAAAGCTGTAGTAGCAGAGACTATATGGATAAATCACATGGACCCTATATGAAGATGATCAAGCTTTAAAATCCCTGCTTTCTACAGTTCCCATTTTTTTACGTTTAGTTAGTATTGACAAATACATAAACATAGGGAGTAGGACAACCCTTATCCAATGCAGTGTATCGCAGCATATTTAGCTACTGCTTATTTCCAATACCCATCCCTAGAAGGGCCTTTAAAATAACAAATACAAGACTATTTCACATATTTTGTTATCCTGTTAGGAACAAAAGCACAACTTGTAGACATACACATACAGACATGTACGCTCACTAGGAATTTATTTGCTACATTTTTTTTAGCTCCAAAAAGGACGTCTGGCCAAAAGAGGTATTTCGGTACAATACTTAAGAGGCCCCTGCAGTAGTATTCCTAGTGGACCTTCCCTGCCTGTAAGTTGGCGTCTATGGTATGTTTGTTCAGCGTGAATATTATCATTCCAAGTCCAAACACTAAGCAGCTTCTGCAGAACTGCCACATACGGCTATCAATCACCTGAGACTTTACCGTCAACAGTCATATGATAAGGTCCATCTGTGAGAAATATATTGCTTCAACGTCTATTTGAGCTTTGAGCTAATATCAGCATGCTATGGTAACATGCTGATGCTAAGCAGATGTAATGTTTAATATGTTAACTATATTAATTTAGCATGTTGGCATGGTATTATTAGCTAGACACAAACTACAGTGGAGGCCTGATGTCATATGTTGCAAGTATTTAGTCTGACCGCACTGATTATAACACCTGTGCCCTGATTCACGCCGGCATTACGCCCCCAGGTGGTGGGAGGTTGTCCAAAAACAAATCAATAACAAAATAGCTCTTACAATCATATGTATAATATATTATGCCTGTCACAATTTCATAAAGCCCATGACGACATCTTCAGATTGCTTGTTTAGCCCAACCAAAAGATATTCAGTTTAGAATGATTTGAAATGACAAGAAAGAACTGGAACCAAGGAATGTTCGCCATCTTTGCTCGTAAAAATGACTGCAACGATAAATTGATCATCAAAATAGATGCTGATTCATTTTCCGTCAATCGACTAAACAAACGATTGTAAGTCTCCCGTTGATTACGTCAGGATAGAAGGTTTTATTCTTTATAAAGTGGCTGCGGCTACTCCCATATGTGGACAATCGGGCTTGTTTTTGCACCTCTTTGGGCCTCCTGCAGTGAGGCCCACATGAGCCCATGTAGTTCTTGACTTCCATTTCTCCTCTTTTGGCTCCATAATTACAGATTAATTGCCCCGCTATATCTCACTCAACATGGAGTACTTAACCACTGAAAGTGTGAAATAACAGAGTGTGACGGGATGATCTGCTGTAGTCGGCGGTATTAACCAGCTCCTGCCTCCTCTCCGATGGGAGCACAGACAGGGAGGGAGGGTGTTCTCTGTGTTCTCGTGTCGACACAGAGACGAGCACAAAGGCCCCAACCCATATTTGACGCTTTGTGGCCATGGACACAAGGAGAGGCTGCCAGTCTCAGAAAATAGAACTCAATTAACAGTTTAGCTGCAGGCATATTGGAACATTGTTTCATTAACGAGATGAATACAGTCTGATAATTACTTCATCTCAATTAGAGAAAAAAAAGGCTACACTCTATATTGATTGTGGCTGATGAGCTTGAAGGTTAATTAGGAACACAATAATTCAAAAGTCTATTCTGCTTTGTTGTTCTTTGACAGTTGTGGGATCTGTTTGTTTTTTGAAGGACTCTGCAGGTGTTCCTGTCACAATAACACTACTTGATTTCATCTATTCAACAAAAGGGTTGCCTTTTGTTGCAGCGAAATAGCCTGCTTCTCTCCTAACCTTGACTCCAGCTAGTAAACACTTTTGGTTTCTGCCTCGCTGTTCTGCCCTGAGCCACAAGAGGGCGCCGTGGTCCTTCCTAAAAGCCTCCACAGAAGCAGCGTGGGAGCTTGGACGGACTGAAACGGTTCACCAAGCCCCCCATTAATGCACCTGTGCAAAGCCAAATGGAACAAACTAATAGTGCATTACCATTAACAATACAAATTACACCATTAGGCACACTTGGCTCTCAGGCCTTGTGATAGCTATAAATAGTTTCACTTGGTCTTGGACAATTTGTGCTGTACTTGCATAATGACAGCACTTGAATTAATTCAGGGTGTGCGAATGGAGAACCCAAATTGCTGCATTTTTTGAAAGGGGACATTTTGGACTTTTTTTTTTAATGATGTGCCTCTTCCTGTACAACCACCTCTGCAAGAGGCCAGCAGCCCTAACATGAGCAAAATGTCTCCATTACAGCCCCATCCAGAGCATTTGATCCAGTTATTGCTGTAACTGTGCACAGAGTAATGACCTCTTTTTGTCAATGAAAGTTGGCTGGATTACCAGGAATGGCCCTCTGGATCGGTTTTGGACCCGTTTCCGGCAGACCATGGGAGACCCAGCACAGTTTTTGCAGCTATCTGACCCCGAAGTGGTTTCACTTCTGCTCCATAAAACAAACAGAGCAGAGCAGAGGCAGCTTGACTGCCCCTCACTGGGACTGTGGACAGGACCTTAAAGCGCTTGGCTGAAGGGAACTATTATGTGTACTACTTTTCTCTGTGCTTTATGTAAATTAACCACACTAAAATGGAAGGTAAAATTAAGCCACCATGTCAGAGGCACTGAGACGTTTGATTTGATGATGTGAAAAGGATAGTTAGCCAAGACTAAGGATCTACAGCCGTGCTAGAAGCTCGATGAGGCTTTTCTTAGGCACAACGTTGCTCCAGTTTGTGACTCTACATTAAAGTCACAGAGCTAAGCCTTTATTTCTCTAAACTCTATATACCCGCTGATGTTTGAAAATGCTTAAATGTCATCTAACATGACTTATTGCTGTTCTGAAAGTATATCTGGGATCCTCAAAGACTCTCTAAACCATCTGGATGAGTAAATCCTCCGTCCACTGCATGATAAATAGCTTTATATCATGCAGCGGACTGGACTTTTTTCTTAGAAGAGTCTTCCCATCCGATTGTTATCAAGACATTTCACTCAAATTTACAAATGTGAATTCATGTCGGTCAGGGAATTGCAGCAAACAATAGGATTCATCCTCAGGGGGCCATGAATATCATATTTGCATAGAAATCCATTCAATGGTTGACAAGACATTTCCCTAAAAAGGCAATAATGTTGACCTTGTGGTGGCGCTAGAAGAACAGCCGTTGGATCCTCAAAGTTACTGCAGTTCATCCTCCGGGGACCATGCACTTCTGTTTTAAATGTCACAGCAATCCATCAAATAGTTGTTGCAATATTTCAGTTTGGACCAAAGTGTTGGACCCGACCGACAAATGGGTCGACAACGCAAACCTCAGACGGCGCTTAACCTGAGCAGTAATCCGTGCACACATACTGCTTGTCAAACAGCTACACTCTTATCAATTAAGAATAATATGGCCGGGGAGATCACAGCATCACATCCATCATTTACATGTAGGAGTACATGATGTAATACATTATGAGCCTGTGAGCACAACAGGGAGGATGACCCTGTACAAGAAACTCTGCGATACTCTTAATTAGATTGCTGTATTGTGGTTTGACCTTGGTGGGAGACACTCTACACTGCTCTCCCTCCCTCCCTCTCTCTCTCTCTCTGTCTCTCCCTCTCTC